GCATATGTTATGGACCGCCGTGCACGAGAGCGAAGGCTTTGGTTTGAAATAAGCGCATCATGTGTCAAATGAGCTACAGGGAGCATCGATATCGGAGTTAACAGAAAGACAAACCGCAGCCCTGCAAAGGGTAGCAGCATGCATCTAGATGGTATGGTTGGTAGATTCACAATGACCTACAGCTTGTTGGTCTTTCTTGGGCGGTGGGCGGCTTCAAGGTTTTGGATGAACATGGGCACGAGTCCATGGGTAGTCTTAATGGAAAGGATTTCATTCGGTTTCCAACCACAATTCATCATTCTGTGTCTCTTGAACTAGCGTTTGTAATCTTGACCAGGACTTGGTCCAGTAGCCCAACAAGCCAGTAGACTGGCCATCGTACGACTCAGAGCATTTCCCGTTCTGCAGAGATTCTTTTTGGTACATTTTGTACAGGATATTCGTACACTTTTTTCGGTTTCTTCTCCACGCCCGCCCTCGTACATAACCTTTTGGTCTTCTGCTCCACCCTCCGACCCCTTTTAGCATCATTAGTTCGCCTCAGCACGCGCCCTGGCAAGCATAGCCTTCTCCCTCCTCTCCTCCTCGAGGATCTTGGCCACCCGCTTCCGGTCCTTGTCGCCCTTGATCCTCAGCTCCTCGGCGGCCTTCATATCCGCCTCGTCCTCGGGACCGGGAAGCACGGCCTCGGCCTTGGTCTCTTGGAGGAAGTGTTCGTAGATTTCTTCCGAGTGCTTGTTCTTCATGTCGATTTTGACGACGCGCTCGAGGCCTTCGAGGGGTGCGGGCGCTTTGGAGTTGTCGATTGCCGAGGAGGGGGGTTGCGGGAGGGTGGAGGGTTCGAGGGGTTCGCCTGAGGTGGAGAAGTAGACGGACATGATTGCTGCGCCTTCGTTGTTGTTTTTGCGGTTTACGATCATGGGGACGGCGGGGTTGTAGTATTTTAGGCGGGGGAGCATGTCGCGCCAGAATTTTCTGTGGAAGATTGGAAAAGAGATGGTTAGTTTGGTGTTCCTTGAAGAGAGGTGGTGAAGCTCTGGTAGAGGAGGGAGACGAACTTGGGTCCGAAGTGGCCGCCATCTACGCGCCTGGCGAACTCCATATGTATCCTCGTGACATTTGGAGGGAGCTTTGCGGCACCGAGGCCGTAGCGGATGTTGAGGATCTGGCAGGTGTCAATTGAAGCTACTCCTGGGAGCTACATCGGGGGGTGTAGGTCTCGAGCGGGATGTAAGTACCTTCTGTTCACCAAAAGTTAGCTTTTCTCAATTCGTCATAAACATTTCAATGGCTTAAAGGAACCTACAGCTCTCAGAGCGTGCCATCTCGCTCCTACACGAGTCATCTTGGGCGGTAGTCTCTTGGGGGGTATCTCGAAACTGCACTTCACACCAAGCACTTTCTCGATGTCAGTCGCGCGGTCGGGAGTCTGAAAATTGCCCGCGACCCTTGGACTTTTCGGGACGGGGACAAATGATTGTCCGGCGATAAGGAGTGTTGGAACTCTTATCGGTGCAGCTCGGGCGTTGATCGTCCCCCAAAATTTCTAGAATTTCCTAGGTGCTTGTTCAGTAGTAAAGCTACAAGGACCCCCAAAAGTCCTGAAGCTGGAACCTAACTTACTACATTCTCTTGATGCCTTTGCAACGATGCATCGCGCATTATCGTCGAGATGGCTCAGGAGTGCCATGAGCATTGGAGACCGGGCCGTCTTGGGTGAAGTCCCGGTCTACCTCTGCCCATCGCTCACCATCGCGTCTGCGCGACCTTGCTTTGCGCCGGCTGGTGATGCGCATCGCAACATTCCCTACAGACAGCGACGCTGTATGCACGTCGAGGCGACTACGATATCCGAGCCGGCAGCGGCGGCCCCGTTGCCTCGTGCTGACGAACCGACCAAGATCCCACGGAGAACCCTTCCGCTGTCATGTAGTGGCTGCGGCGCATTGAGCCAAACGACGGAGGCCGGGCATGCTGGGTACTACGACCTGAGCAGAAAAGCCGTGAAAGAGTATCTCGCGCCCAAGGGTAGCATGGAAGATGCGGAAGTGGAGGCACGGGAGGAAGACAAGGTCATTGATGAGGTCCTGCAGAACATGAGCGAGGAGCAGCTTGCTGAACTTGGCCTGGACCCGAAGTCGCTGCGTTTTGGGGAGGAACTGGGTCCGGACGTGACAAGTGCGTATTCTACTGTTGTGCTGCGTCTACCGTAGTTACTGACAAATTGCAACAGCACCAGGTCTCAAACCAAAGAGAGTACCGCTCTGCGATCGATGCCACAAGTTGGTGCACCACCACGCCGGAGAGCCAATCTACCATCCGACGGTCGACGCCCTGCGTGAGACGATCGAGGAGTCCCCCTTCAAGAATAACCACATCTACCACGTAATTGACGCCGCCGACTTCCCAATGTCGTTCATTCCGAAGCTGCACCAGGTCCTCGACGCCAACTTGAAGCATAAGAACCGTAGGAACAGGGCTGGGAGGTACTTCAAGGACCGAAAGTTCGACATGAGCTTCATCATCACACGGTCAGACTTGCTGGCGCCGAAGAAGGAGCAGGTGGACTCGCTCATGCCGTACCTGAGAGAGGTCCTGCGCCGGTCGCTAGGCAAATTTGGACAGCTTATCAGACTGGGCAACGTCAAGTGTATCAGCGCCCAGCGAGGCTGGTGGACCAAGACGCTCAAAGAAGAGATTTATCAGCGCGGCGGTGCGGGCTGGATGGTCGGCAAGGTCAATGTTGGAAAGAGTCAGCTGTTTGACTCGGTATTTCCAAAGGGCACATCGGCATCTCTCCCTTCAAAGAACCCTGTGCAGATCTCCTTGTTTGCAAAGGAGGAGGATAGCGACGGCGCCCACTATGCCACGCGAGGAAGCTTTGAGAACGATTCAGATCGTTTCGAAGTGGATGCTTTACTGCCTCCTGCTCGTCCCGAAACAGATTATCCGGAGATGCCTACGGTCTCTTCTCTTCCAGGCACGACGGCTTCTCCTATCCGAATCCCCTTTGGTAACGGCAAGGGCGAGCTAATTGACCTACCTGGAGTGGCTCGATCGGATCTCGAGAGATACGTCAAACCCGAGCACCATAAAGACCTCATCATGCATCACCGAATCAAGCCCGAGCAGCAGTCCCTCAAGCCCGGCCAGTCTCTCCTGCTCGGGAGCCTGATTCGCATCACACCCACCACGCCGGACCTCGTCTTCCTCGCCTACAACTTCACCCCTATCCCCGAACACGCGACTTCCACCGAGAAGGCCATCGAGTTCCAGCAGCAGACGAGGGAATCCGACCGCGTGCCCAACATCGCCGCCCCCGGACTCGCGGAGAAGCTCAAGCTCGCGGGCTCCTTTGAGCTCAAGTACGACGTAACAAAGGAGCGCGCCGGCCCCCTCACTCGCAAGGACGTCGGCCGCAGAAAGGTCGAGGACCTCCCCTGGCGCGTGGTGGCCACCGACATCCTCATCGAGGGGTGCGGATGGGTCGAGATCGTGGCGCAGGTTCGGACCAAGGATCTGTTTGCCGGCTGCGCGCCGTCCTTTATCGAGGAGGAACCTGAACCTGAGCCTGAACCTGAGGATGAGCCTGAGCCTGAGAATGGTTTCGCCAAGATGGAAGCGGCATCGATCAACCAGGCCGGTCTCCTCCAGGTCGATAGGCTGAAGAAGACGGCCGAGAAGCTAAAGAAGAAGGAGGAGAAGGCCGCGAAACCCGCCCGGAGCCTTGATGAGCCCAATTGGCCCGTCGTTGAGGTCTGGACGCCTGAGGGCAGGTTCGTTGGCACTCGTCTGCCGATGAACGCTTGGCTTCTGAATAAGTCCCCCAAGAAGGTGATAAAGAGCCGCCCTCGCAAGAGCATGAAGGGTGCTAAGAAAGCGGCTAAGGCTGCTAAGAGAGCTCTTGCGGCGGCTGCTTGAATAGCCTTGTAACATCTCCCCACAAACACACATACTATGTACATCAGTTGTAGAATATTTGCATGCGATACCCATATGTAAACACCATGTAACAATAATGAAAACCGGCCATTCACTATATAAGTTTACCACACAACTCTACTATACAGGTCTACTACTTCCATTAGCATGTCCGTCCTTAGTTTTCTATTATCCCTAAGCATGCCCCCCGTCTCTATACCTGCCCTCTATCTCTGAGCGTCTCCCTCGTCTCTAGGTGTCTCTCTCGTCTCTAGTCTTTCTCTGACTTCTACTTATTTTCGAAACTATTCGTAGGCGAATATAAGGGAAATAGGGCGGAACGGGACAGAGGCGTCGCTGGTTTTTGACGTATGACTGATGGCATGGACCATTCCCAAAACCACTTTACGCGTGAACAATGCGCGGCGTGTCATCAACCCTGGATGCAATCTGAATGACGGAGTGAATGAACCCTTGATAATGACCGGCACTCAGGATCGTTTCCATCACCGAATCCGGAACCTTCTCGCGGCACCGGTGCGTTCCTGGAAATGGCTGGCCCGGCCGTGGCTCCGGGCCTTGGCTGTCGTTTGGCTGTGGATCTTCAGGGAATGACGTGGGGTTGGTAGCACTGAATCGCCCAGGTCGTGCCCAGGCTGTACCTGAATAATCGGGGGGTTCCATGTTTGGCCTGTGACCGTCGCCCGCATTCTTTCCCGCCCCTCCAGGAAAAAATAAAGATTGAGAAAGCATCCCACCCTGTTTGCCTTCCTCCAAACTTACAAAAAGCCAAATTCCTACGGATACACGAACCCCTGAATATCCTCGATCTTCCCGCCGGGTGACGAATCTGCACGCGACAGAAGCCTCAACACGCACAACAGCTACAGGTTTGCGACTGCATCAAGTTCACTATTCGAGAAGTCCCAGCAAGCTTTACAATATTGGGGGTTCATCGCTGTGAGAAGCGCCCCCGCGAAGAGAAGTGACTGCATCGGCATCACACGACCACACGACCACACAAACCTCCCCACCCTTCGACGTTCACAAAACTTCCCTGTACCGAATTTCTCACTACAATGGCGGGTTTACAAGACCGTTTGCCGCAGCGCTCGGCACCAGGCCCCTCTCAGACCCAGACAGAAACGCAGAGCAGGACGGGCACGCAGGCAATTCTACGGCTGAGAGGTGCCCACGCTCCATCTAGGCAGTCGGTGCGATGGGCGGAAGACGTGGTGGATAACGAGGGCCTGGGACGCAAGAGCTCAAAAGGTGAGCTGACCTTCCCTCTCTCCCACTCTTACCGTCACATGCATGACTTACTAACGCACCTTCGACAGTCTGCTGCATCTACCACCGCCCCAAAGGCGTAGACGAATCCAGCGACGAGTCCTCCTCGGACTCCTCTGACGACTCTTCCGACTCGGAGGCGGACACCAACGGCGGGCGTAGGAGGGTACCCTCAGGAGACCACAAGGGTAAGGGTAAAGGAAAGAAGAGCGGTAAGCGGGGAGACCATGACCACGACTGCGGCGACCACGATCACGACCACAGCGGCCACGGGCATGGGAGGAAGGCTGGTCGCGAGGGGAGCGAGAAGAGGCGGCCTAGCCCGAATGCGTATGAGAGGGTGCCGAAGCCACCTAAGCCCAAGGATGAGGGGAGCGGTGGTTCGCCGGCCAAGGCTTGAGTGAAAGGCGCTCACACTGGAGAACATAAGATGGTTGATTTATGGTTCGCGATGCATATCTTAGGCGTTGGAGGTGATTGGTGCATGGTTCACGGATGAGCATATCTACAGCCCCTAGTACGACGGGCGGCAGCACGAATACAAGATACTTCACAAGTAGAGATACCCATTCTCTGCTCACCCCATGTGGGGCTTTTGACATTCGATACGGCGACAACCAACAGCTGCAGAGACAGAGATGATCGATCTGTCAGTACTATTCGAGTGCTGCGTCTCGTTACTGGAGTCTCTCTTTTCGCGGACCCGGCGGAGCGGTGTGTCCCCGCACTCAGTGCGCCGGCGGCGGCCGTGGGGGGATCAGCTCTCCTACGCCCGGGCGCAACGCGCTGAGATCTTATCGCTGGCGATAAGTCCAGGACCCCGCGATCCCTTGACAGTGCTCAGACGTAACCCCGCCATTCTTCAACAGCTTCCTCCATATAAGCCACAGCTTCACAAACCTCCCTTCCTCGTACAACCGTGAAGTCGGTTTTGGAGAATTCTCATCTAAGCACGACTCATACCTTTCTCACACAATCATGTCTCACGAGCACTCACACGACGGCCCTCATGGCCACGCGCACTCCCACGAGGGCGGCTTCAACGCCCAGGAGCACGGCCACTCCCACGAGATTCTTGACGGTCCTGGAAGCTACCTCGGCCGTGAGATGCCCATTGTCGAGGGCAGAAACTGGAGCGATCGTGCTTTCACAATTGGTATTGGAGGGTGAGTTTAATTTACTATTCCGGCTCTGGATCGGTCCAAAAACCGCTCATCCTCTCCTATTCGGGTGGCTTCAAATGGCTTGCGAGAAGCGCTCTGGGCATGGATGCCCAGATCAAATTGGACATGAATGATTCCCAATGGCAACGGAATACGAACAATAAAGGCTAACACGAATACCCAAACCCCCAGACCAGTCGGCTCCGGCAAGACGGCTCTGATGCTCGCCCTCTGCCTCGCCCTGCGCGAAAAGTACTCCATCGCCGCCGTCACAAACGACATCTTCACCCGCGAGGACGCCGAATTCCTCACCCGCCACAAGGCCCTGCCCGCCCCGCGCATCCGCGCCATCGAGACGGGCGGTTGCCCGCACGCCGCCGTGCGCGAGGACATCTCGGCCAACCTCGCCGCCCTCGAGGACCTCCACCGCGAGTTCGACGCAGACCTCCTCCTCATCGAGTCCGGCGGCGACAACCTGGCCGCCAACTACTCGCGCGAACTGGCCGATTATATCATCTACGTCATTGACGTCTCGGGCGGCGACAAGATCCCGCGCAAGGGCGGCCCGGGCATCACGCAGAGCGATTTGCTGGTTGTGAACAAGACGGACCTGGCTGAGATTGTGGGCGCGGATCTGGGCGTCATGGAGAGGGATGCGCGCAAGATGCGCGAGGGCGGGCCGACTGTGTTTGCGCAGGTGAAGAAGAATGTTGCCGTTGATCACATTGTCAACCTCATGCTTAGCGCGTGGAAGGCGAGTGGTGCCGAGGAGAACCGTAGGGCTGCGGGTGGACCGCGGCCTACGGAGGGCCTTGACAGCCTCAAGGCTTGAGTACTAGGTGGACAATGGTAGGTCATAGGTGGGATGGCACGTTGGACGAATGTAAGAAGTGAGGGTTGATGCAAAAAAAAAGTTGAACGAATCTCTCTTTTCAAAAAAACTCCGGAGGATGGCATCAGACCTGTATCTATAGCCGACGTTACTGCTAATATCTATGCATTCTTTTCCCGGGGCGCACCCCTTTTTTGGCATTTCCATCTCATCATGTCTGACTTTTATGTTTTTTCCCATGGCCCATGTCTTCTTTTTTTTACTCCATCATCACATCACCCTCCTCAACCAGCTCCGGGACGCCCGCCTCGAGGAGTGGTCCCTCGAAGGGGACTGCGTTGCGCGGGAACACGCGCTTATACAGACTGACACCAACAGAGTCCTGCGGGTTGATGCGAGCGTCGAACGTCGCCTTGAAGTATCCGTGGGTACCGAGGGGCTCCTTCATGAAGCCGGTGCGGCCGCGCTTGGTCCACAGCGGCAGGGCCTTGAACCACTCAACGTCCTCGCGGTTGAAGAACATGTAGCGGATGGTGACGATCTTCTTGTGGATGTGGTACGGGTGACCCGTGAGGATGGCGCGCTTGGCGATGACGCGGTTCGTTGACGACGGCAGGGCGGTGCCGGTGCCGACGAGCGTCAGGTTGAGGGCAGAATCCCCCTCGGCGTCCCCGGATGTGGGCTCGGTGCGCTTGAAGAAGAGGACGGGGACGGCGCCCCAGGTGACGGGACCCATGAAGGTCGCGACGGCAGACTGGCCCGGGTGGAGGTATCTGGCAAACTTGTGCACGTTGTTGGGCGTGTTGCCCGGCTGCGAGAAGACGGGGTTGATGGTGAAGCGACGGGGGCCGCACTGCACGATGAGCTCCTCCTTGGCCTTGATGGACTTGTCGTGGTCGGCGCTCAGGTTGAACAGATAGTTGACGGCCGTCTTCTTCTGCTCGTGGCGCAGGAGGGAGAAGAGCGTCACCGGCCGGCCGGGCTGGTGCGACTTCTCAAAGGACGCCGGGACGCCCTTGAGGTAGACGTGGACGCGGGTGCCGGGGGCGACGCCGCCGACGAGGGCCTCGCGGGTGGACCGCGACCGGGACGCCTGATAGTCTGGGATCTGGAGGAGCTTGCGCCACTCCTCGGGCTCGTAGGCCCGATCTTCGCTCTCGAGCCACTCGCTCGTCCTGAGGCTCTTGAGACCCCTGTACCGTTGCAGGCGCTCGCGCGCGAGGACGCCCGGGTGCAGCTCGATCTCGTCGGGGAATTCCTTGTCATCCTCGACCTCGTCCGTCTTGCGCGCGCGGTAGGCGGCAAGACCGGCCGCGTCCTCCTCTTCATCCGGCTCGATGAACTTCTCGGACTGTGCGTATGTTGTAGGTGCGCCCTCGGTGGGCTCTCTGGGCGCGGCACCCTCGAGACCATCCTCGGGGCGGGCCTCATCCTCCTCAGAGTCGCCGTCCTGCATCTCAAAGTCCTCCATGTCGGAACCTGAGTCTGACATGTCGTCGCCGAGGTACCATGCCGCTTGGTAGTTGGACGTTCCCTTGGGGACTCTGGTCTTGGCTTCCGCGGCCTCGTAGTAGTCGTCGTTGAAGTAGTGGTGGTCGTCGAGAAGCACACCCTTTTGGATCTCTGGCGGCTCAGTCGTTTCCATCTCGTCGTCTTCCATCGGCGCATCAGGGGCCAGCTCTGCCAGATCATCCTGGTCTTCATCAGGGGTATCAAGAGTCTCCTCGGTCTCGGTCTCCTCCACGGCCATTTCGCCTCTCTTCAGCTTCTTGGGCAACGGCGCACTCGTAATCTTCTCAATCTGGAACGTGCCAAAGTCGCCCAGCTGAACCAAGCGGTTGGCCTTCAAGCCACGTCCCCTGACGACACCAGTGACGACTGTTGAGTCAAGTCCTGAGCTGGCGAACTTGATGTCCTCGGCCAACATCCAACTCCTGTCCTCGCGCCACCTGACACCCTTTGGTGTGGTGTTGCAGAGCGACCTCATGAGGTTGGCGCATTCTTGTCTGTTCTCCAGCTGGTAAAGCTTCTCCTGCTCAGGGTGGAAGTGGGTGATGTATGACCTCAGGGAACCGAGGGTGGACTGCTTATGCTTGGCTTGGTCGATCTTATCCACACCGTAGACAACGGTGAAGAGGGTTGACAGACCCTGGCTCTCCAGACTCCTCAGCATCAGCTCTCCAAGCTCATCGACCTCAACGTCGGCGGAGAGCATGACCACCACAAAGTCGGCGACCCGGGTGGCGTCCAAAACCGCATTCAGGTCCCGCTTAAGAGGGATGTACTGGACCTTCTGCTTGAATCTGTCGACGGAGACTCTGAACGGCGTCTCCCCCACTTCGGCCTCGATGTCCACGCTCTCGTTCAACTGCTTGATGGCGACCGCGGCGTCACCATCCTGGCATAGGGGAACGACCGCAACAATTCGCGGTGCTCCATCCCGCCCGACAAACAAGCTGGCTTCCTCCAATCTCTCCTTTCGCTTGGCGATCTGGCGCTGCTTGGCCTGGTTTCGTCGGTCGAATTTGGACAGAACTTGCTGGTGGGGTGTCTTTCGCTGCCCCTTTTCGTCACCCGGGAGTCTGCCTATTCAGACCAAATATTAGTTTGAAAATTCCACGAAAAAATTTGCCCTCGGGTTTTGGGTGAGGGAGAATCTGGAGGCGAACCTTTGGCGGCGTCCCTCAGCGCACCCTTGGAGGCATGCTTGGACTTGAAGGGCTTGTGGGTGACTTTGGTCGTCGGTCGGTGAGAGTGACTCATGGTCGCGGCGGGCGGTTTCCCGTCTCCCCCAGCCTTGAAACGAAAGGGTAGCGAAGCCAGGTTGGAAAGAGGCTTCTTTTTCTACTTTTCACAGTCGAAATCGAGACTTGGTCGAGTACGGCGCAATTTTTGGACTTTTTGGACGGATTTGCGCCTGTGATGCGGATGGAGGGGTACTCTGACCGACTATTTTTTTGAATTCGTGCGTGCGTTATCTGGAGACGTCCATTGGCTTGCCGAAAGTTTCTGCGGGGCTCTGGCTGGGGTGATAAGATACGCTCGAACCAGGATCCCGATAACAGAAGAGCCGAAGAAATTTTGGGCCGAGTCGCTGCTATTGAGCATCTCAGTGAACTTTTTTTTCTTTGCAGGGACCCTTCGCGACGGCACTCCACGAGCACTCCAGACCTGCAAGCCACGAAAACGAACCTCATCACCCGTTTGCCCACCATGGATATCGACACACCCGAGACGCAGACGATATCGCGGAGGGACAACCCGCACTCCAATGGCGCCGTGCAGGTGAAGCGCCGCACCGACCTCGTCCCGCGCGAGGAGCGGGAGAAGATCCGGAGGCTCAAGGAGGCGAACAAGTCGTACGGCCGCGGCAAGAGCGTCAACATGAAGTCGATCAAGGACAAGAAGCTGCGCACCAACCTGTCCAAGCTCGAGAACAAGTACCGCGACGCCACCATCAAGGCCAAGGACGCCGAGATCCTACTCGAGAACAGCAGCGGCTTCCTCGAGCCCGAGACGGAGCTCGAGAGGACGTACAAGGTCCGCCAGGATGAGATCACCGAGGGCGTCTCCGTCACGACGGCGCAGAAGCGGTTCGAGCTGAAGCTGGAGGAGCTGGGACCGTACGTCGGCGAATACACCCGCAATGGCAGGGAATTGCTGCTCGCGGGACGGAAAGGTCACCTTGCGACGTTTGACTGGAGGGAGGGCAAGCTGGGGTGCGAGATTCAACTCAACGAAACGATTCGGGATGTGCGGTGGCTGCACAACAACCAGTTCTTCGCTGTTGCGCAAAAGAAGTATGTCTACATCTACGACCACAACGGTGTTGAGATCCACTGCTTGAGGAAACACATGGAGGTCACACACATGGAGTTCCTCCCCTACCATTTCCTCCTGGGCACAGTGGTAAGTTTTGAAATCACGAATGCAAGCTCTTCTGAGCTTCGCTGACAATGGCCATAGGCATCAACAGGTTTCCTCAAATACCAGGATGTTTCGACAGGCGACATCGTCTCCGAGATCCCCACCAAGCTCGGCCCCCCAACAGCCATGACCCAAAACCCCTGGAACGCCGTGTTCCACGTAGGACACCAGAACGGCACAGTCACTCTCTGGTCACCCAACCAGACCGACCCTCTCGTCAAGCTCCTGGCGCACAGAGGGCCGGTAAGATCACTAGCCGTCGACCGCGAGGGTCGATACATGGTCTCCACCGGTCAAGACTGCAAGATGGCCGTCTGGGACATCAGGATGTTCAGAGAAGTGAACCAGTACTTTACAAGAACACCCGCATCCTCAGTAGCCATCTCCGACTCGGGTCTGACGGCCGTCGGTTGGGGCACACAGACCAGCGTCTGGAAGGACCTGTTCAACAAGAACATACCCGTCCAGGAGAAGATCCAGAGCCCGTACATGGCTCTCGGAGGCGAAGGCAGACGCGTCGAGCGCGTGCGGTGGTGCCCCTTCGAGGACGTCCTCGGCACGGGCCACGACGAGGGCTTCTCCTCGCACCTCATCCCCGGCGCCGGCGAGGCCAACTTTGACGCCCTCGAGGTCAACCCCTTCGAGACTAAGAAGCAGAGACAGGAGGCCGAGGTCAAGGGCCTGCTGAACAAGCTCAAGCCCGAGATGATTGCCCTGGACCCCAACTTCATCGGCAACATTGACCTGCGCTCGGCTGCGCAGCGCAAGGCCGAGAAGGACCTGGACGCGAAGCCGCTGTCCGTCGAGGAGGAGATCAAGAACCGCGCCAGGGGCAAGAACGGCGCGTTGAAGAAGTACCTGCGCAAGCAGAGGAAGAAGAACATCATTGACGAGAAGAGGATGAAGGTTGATGAGATCTGGGAGAAGCGCAAGAAGGAGAGGGAGAGCAAGAACCAAGAGGCAGAGGCTGATCTCGGCCCGGTGCTGTCGAGGTTCGCGCGCAAGGAATAATGCGGATGATGAGTAGGTGGAATTGTGGCTGTAAAAAGTGTTGACAAAAAGTTGGAACGGGA